CTGAGGAATTACAAATGGAACTGAGAGATCATCGGTGAACATTTTATCTCTGAGTAGATGATGAAGGAAAGGTTATTGGAAAAGCATCTGAAGATTTTTAGACCTAGGACGCTATCCTGAGGAAGCCTATATCAAGGACTTGGGACTGAGATGATTGGTCACGAACAAACAAAAATATTTTTGTTTTTGTTCAGTGTGACTCCATCCAGTGAGAGCTTTATCTTAACTTTCAATGATTTTCAGTATTCGCTGAGTTCCTTGATGCCAAACATAGTTCAAAGCTGCATGGAAGTGAAGAACAGTCACTCCAATGTCACCTCTGAAACATAGCTCTTTCATCCATAAAATAAAACAAAGAACCGCAGATGCAGGAAATCAGAAACAAAAATAGTCATTGCTGCAGAAGCTAAACAGATCTGGCAACATCTGTGGAGAGAGAACAGAACCAATGCCTCAAGTCCAGTGACCAGAGTACAGTTCTGAGGAAGGCTCACTGGACTCGAAGCATTGTCTGTGTTCTCTCTCCACACATGCTGCTAGATCTGCTCAGTTTCGCTGGCAATTTCAGCTTTTGCTCTTTCATCTGAGTTTAAAATAAAGCTCTAATGAGACCTGCAGTCAAGAGATACTAATGTAACCTCTTAAATATAGTGCAATGCCAACCACCATGAGTTTGTTATTGGGATATCTTGCTGCCAACCCCTCTTTATTTGACTGAGTTTTCTGTAGTGGAAGAAAATGACTACTGAGTCTTAATAAGAAGAGGCACTTTCCTTCAGCAAGGTGAAGTTTATTGTATGACAGCAATCAGATACTAGTCACATTGGTAAGTTCGAGCTTGTGTGATGCAGTGGTGGTGCTGCTGTCTCTGTGCCAGAAGGTCCATGTTCAAGGTCCACCTGTCCCGAAGGTGTGTCACAACATGCTCAAACAAGCAAGTTACACTGACAGTGGTGAGATCTAGGATACACGCCTTCACGTTATAAGAGCTTAAGCTATTCCGGTTTTTCCCCAAACAAGTCCTTATGAAATCATCAGAGTGGGTGTATTTTAATGCAGTACCTAAAATTAACTCTTTTATGAACAATTACCTGACACACAGGAGCTTGGGCCTTGATTAGCACATGGCATAGACAGTCTCTGGGGGGGTTAAGGCCATCAGAACTTCTCAGTCACCTTTTCTGTGGTGGAGGTGTAGAACAATTTTGTATTAAAGATACATTGTGGGCGTCATTAAGGGGAAGTTTCATGGAAATTGAAGAGTTTTATTCATTCTGGTCTCATTACTGAGGTCTTATCAAACAAAAGAAGAGGGTATTGATTATGCTTTAAAATTGCACGAGAGACTTTGGCACATATTATGATTCTCACTGAGATAGCACAAATTGTTCCATTCCCTATTATCCAGACTTCAAGCAGTAATCCCATTTTACCTATGCACCAAATTGGACTAACTGGCATTATCCATTCAAATACAATGGAGCTAGCATTCTTGTGCACTCAATTGCAGCGTTCACAGTTGCCTTGGCATGAAAAGTATATTGAACCAAAATGCAGCTCAATAAGGCTGTATTGGATCATTTGCATCAATGCAAATACATTATTTCTTTACTGTGATGGCCAAAGGCCTATGGAGTACAGGATGTAGCATAGAGTCGGTCAATTGGGGTAAAAGGTACATAAACTTGAGGCAGAGGATTAAAACTAGTTGCAGAAATAGGTTAGCTTGAGCTCACCAAGGAATGTGTGAAAAAAAACTTGTTAAAACAATGTTGTTGGGAACTAGGTCAATAAAGATAGATCTAATAGACTAGCAGAACTTTTTCTGTAGAATGAAGGGGTGGAAGATGAGTTTAAAAACGGAGCTGAGGTTATTTTAGGTGAGGGGTGAAACTAGCAAGCCTTATATTGGAGAGTTTGATTCAGAAATAATGAAGCCATCTATGAGATTCAATGGTGTTAGGGATAACAGATAATAAAAATGTAAAGATGACATTACTAAAATGGAAATATGAAACTTGGCTCAAGGATAAAAACACCAAGGTTGCTACCATTGGCTTCCAACTGGAAACCAACCTGGGAAGGGGAGAACCTTGCAGAGGGAGCCTGTGGGGGCCACTCTGGGAAAATATACAGGAAATTTTAATTTTAATTATGAATGTTATGTTGTGGAAAACTCTGCTTTAACTATAGCCTATACTAAACCAGCAATGGAAGTGAAAAGATTGACTACACAGAGGTAGAGCTAGATATTATCAGTGTACATATGGCAGTTTGTTATTTCCTTATGGATAATCATTGCTGAAGGCAGCCTATTGACAAGAAATAGGTGATTGAGGATGAAAAAGTAAATTAATAACTTTCATTACCCATTCCAACACATCTTCCTCCCTTGCAAAAGAATAGCCCTGCAGATGTCTGTCATGTTCAAGTTAAGTGGGATTGCAAGACGAAAAAAACTGGGCATCAAACCAACTGCTTGCAGTCTTTTGTAGCATAATTTTTGAGAGTCACAGACCACCTGCACATTCAAAGAACAGAAACCTTTACCGCTGAAGTGTGGAATCAGATTAATGGATGGTGTGAGTATCTCAATTTGGGTTCAGTCCACTGGGCTCAGCTGTGAAAGGCTGCAATAGCATAAAATCTTCAGTCTGAGGCCAGCTGTTTGCTTTCAGAGAAGAGAATGAACCTCTCAGCATTTCCAAATACAGTGTACAGAAGTGTCTGGCTAATTCTATTGGAAGTCACTCTGGCTTTCTGGAATGATTGCCCAGAACTGATGAATGCTGTCAATTTCATAGTCAAAGGTAAAATAGGAACTCTTCACATCAGATGTTACAACTTAACATAACTCAGCAATAACCTCCCTGCTGCTTGTCTGGTATATCTAGGTTGTGTAAACAAAGTTGGGACATTCAAATTCACAGGGAAATAGGATCTTTTTGGCTTTTTGACACTACTGCCATAGCACTCTTACATCAGCTGTTTCTTTAAACAAACCAGGATGAAGATAAGCATAAAGGTGAAGGGTCCTGACCCGAAACGTTGACTTTCCTGCTCCTCTGATGCTGCCTGGCCTGCTGTGTTCCTCCCGTTCCACACTTTGTTATCTCTGACTCCAGCATCTGCGGTTCTTGCTATCGCCGTAGTTAAACATGACCGGATCTGTCATTGTTGCAGTTGAACTGATAACTGCTGTAACTGGCCCATAAGTTGAGTGTTAATTACTACCCAGATGGGCTAAAAGTTAAAATAAAAGTGAAATTGTACTATACCTCATTCCTTCATTGTTTGCTCCAGTACTTGTACAGTTAGGTAACTGTATTGCTGGCGGTGGCCTGCAGGTGGATTTTGGCTGGGCAATGGTGGGGGGTGGGGTTAGGTGGTCAAGAGGGAGGGGTGACTGCAAGGAATTGGTCAGGAATGAAGGGTGTGACTGGGACAATAACAGAAAACAATTGTGGGAGGTGCTGGCTAGAAGAAAGAATGGCCTTGGAGAGTGCAGACATAATTGAGAGGGAGCGACCAGGTAAATGGAAGAAATAAATCAACAGGGAGACAGTAAAGGAGAGAAGCGGGGTGGGTGGGGGGCAAAATGACTGGAGATAGGAGTATGAACGGGAGAGGGAGTGCCCTGGAAAGCAGAAGAAATGAACTGGGAGAAAGGGAGTGTCCAGGAGACGATGTGAAGATGATTGGGAATGAAGTGGCTAGGCAATTAGCGCATATGATTGGGTGGGACAGACTGGGAGACAAAGGGCAAGTGCTCAGGATGGAGTGGCCAACTGGATAAGGGTGAAAGCGATCAGAAGGGCAAGGTTGCCTGGCACAGTAGGGGATTCCAGTCTGGGCAAAAGAGGAAGGAGAGAGTGAAGAGCAGACTTAGAGGCAGCAATTGTCTGGTTTGGCAGCCCAAACTTGCAAAATGGGTCTCAAACATTACCTTCACAAATAGAATAAGCAGCAGGCTAATTAATTCTTTGAGACGCAATGCTCACAAATTTGTCAAATTTAAAGATATGTTAGGATTGAATTTCTCCATTACTACAAGTAAATTGCGCTCAAAATTACAATAATTTTCAAAGTGTGTTCTTTTTGCTCAAATTTCTGTCATGAACCACCATAATTAGGCACTGTATTAGGACAAGTCTTTTTTTTTGCATTGAATCAATATTCCTTTATATATTGTTACAACTGGGTGAGGAGGGTATGATGGCTCCCCTCTTAAAAGGGCTTTGGAATTTACGCTGTACAATTTTGCAAATATTCAGCCATTTTAGATGTTGACATTTCAAGTCACTAGAGTGTTGCTTCAGTAATTTTTATTAAGAAAAATGCATTTTCTTTTCAATAGAGCTTGGCTTTGCAACCATAGTTAAGGACAGTAATCTGGTGCACTTCTATTAACTCAGCTAAAAATCACAAATAAGGAAGTGTGCTTAATCAGTGTTTAGTCTACCACTTATTTGTGAGTAACCAGATCTCAAATAACTAAACATGGCTTAAAATTATGTACAGGATCACTTGCTGCTTCCATGGGGATCCAGGAATCAATTTCCTATAAATTATTATTTTTTAAAAATTGAAATCTTTTTCAAGACAGATGTTCCTGTGACTCAGAAAAAAAAACTTAACTTTTACATTTCTTGAAGGCCCACTAATCAACACAACTGGAGGAATTGCACCGTTGTGACTAACTTGATCTGGGGACTGGCTTGGTGGGCCAGTCAGTTTCCATCATGGAGTTTTTTGAACTAGACCCAAAAATAGTGGACATTCAATTCACGTTGTACATTATTAGTGCTTAAACTCTCTCTACCGTTTGCTCTGATTTGGCTAATTATGACTGAATTTTCTTAAAACAACAATATAATCTAATGGAAACTCAAGACCAATTTGTTTTTACAGTGAGTTAGGAAAGTAAATTAGGAAACTAAGAGGTGTTTAATACGAAGAATAAGAATACTAATTTATAAATGGGAATAATCACACAAATGGGAGGTGGGAAGTTCATTTATTTGTTTGTTTGTTTGCCAAACGCCAGATGAGAATTAGCCCATTTCATATGGTATTTTTACAGTTTTAAATTATTGGGTAAATAATTAAGTCTAAGAACAGCTATATTCTCTTAAACATTTCGCGCAGAGAAATAATGCTAATTCTTAACACTGTTATGTGAATATGATATTCTTATGGAGAAATTTTAGGGTTTACACATCATACTGCAGTAAGCACAAGACATTTCACCAGATGCACATTGAAAGCAAGAACAAGCACAAAATACATAAAATATAAAAGATAAATCAATTTATATGCCATTATGATATCCAATTGAAACCATTATTGGAATTTGGAGCAATAGTACAATGTGAGAGAATTTCCCTATACAAGAGAGAAAACACCTTGAACTTCATTCCTGATTCTGAATGTTTGAAGCCACCATCAGAATTGTCAGACTGAAGGAAAAAGCTCAAACTACATAATTACAAGTTTTCTTTCCAATATAACGTTGCTAACAAAACAGGGTCTGATTTTAAAGACACATGCAAGATAGGCTGGAAACTTGGCCTGTTGCCTTTTCATTCATAAGATGCTTCAGTACTTTAAAAAAAAATCAGTTATACCATTTCAACAACAGATAACTATCCTGTTATGGGTAAATTACCCCAATCATTCTTCCAGATAATAGTTATTAACATAACACTGTTTTTTATGTATTGGTTTTAAGCAGTTTTTGTCAAATCAGATCTATTGCACACCATAATGTCCCAATGTTATGTCATTTCTTTGCATTAGAATTGCTTGTGATTTACTCCATTACTTCTCACAGAATGCAAAACGACTGCCTCTGGAGCAATAACAATATGCCTATAATTGGGCTCATTTATAACAGAGGGCAGATTTTCTTTTATCGCTCATATCACATGTTTCAGCCCGATGATCCTGTAGCTCTGTTTTTTTAAAGATATGTCACGAAGCAGAGTTGTCCAATTAAGGCATTTGACACAGATAGGCCTGCTCTGTTCTTAAGCTAATACTCTGTGGAATGTAAGATAATAAAAATCACCTTTGAAACAATAACTGCACATTCTAAGGAACATCACACTGGCTTTTCCCTTCTTGGTCCATTAAAGGACTCTCATATCGTTGTCTAGTTATGAAATAGAAAAGTGTTAAACCATCAACAGAGTAGTGCAATTTAAATGCAAACTGACAGAATTAAGAAAAGGGGAAAAACTTCAAAACTAAATTAGCCCAGGAATGAAATGGGAAAAAAGATTGAAAATTAAAACAGAATTGTCAGTCCCTTTCACTGTAGTTCTTTCAACTGAGTTTAAATTCACTTTTACTGGAGAAATCAAGAAACATGAATTTCAATTTAATTAGCTACTGCATTAAGTAAATCCCAAACCTCACGTAAATTTCTATTTATACATATGATCTCAGAAATCCCTGCAATTAACTGCATGTTTTCTGAATCTACTGTCTTTGCTCAGACTGCGTGCGGGGGGTATTGATCTTACCTTTGTAATCCTTTCACTATTATGCAACATCTTATATAGCTTCTCTTGATTTGCATCTGCACAAAAATTACACAAATTATGACACTGCTAAAAGTATATCACAGTTTTGACTGTAGAATATGCTTTTTGGGGTGACATCTGGAGTACCTTTCAGACACATGTTCAGAACCTTGGCTGTTGTATTGAGATACGTGTTGGTACTGTGGCCTTTTGCAATAGAACAAAATGACAAGAAAGCACTACAAAATCTGTGAAAGAAATATAACTCTAGATCAGACATTTACAACTGTTTTCTGTTTAATAAAACAGATTTTTGAAAAAATTAATGTCATTTATGATATTAAATTTGGTAATTTCTCACAAACTGTAGTACAGATTAATGGGTGGATTAGCTAAATCAAGAGATCTGATTTGAGACAGCAGCCAATAAATAGGTTATATTTCTAAAATGCACGGCATGTTCAGAAACTGGACTGTGTAAGGATTTTAGAAAGGCTGTAAGCTGATGTGATCTGAGAAGAAATCTAAAACCAGTTCTATTTACTAGAATTTAGTACATTAAACTGATTAAAGAACAAGATATGGTCAAGTTCAGTAATCAGCTGTCTGGTGGCTCTCCTTTTCCAGACTGAAATACTCGAATGCTCAGTATAATCACAATGATCACTGTCCAATATGGCAGAGCAACTAAGACCTTACCAAAGTAGGTCATTGTAACACATGGTTTCTATTTGACATGTGTAAAAGTTCTAGCAAGATAGAACGTTCAATAGACAAAAATGAAATTAACTGAAATTTAAGTAAATATTCTGTGGTGAATAGCATATTAAACAATTCAGGCCCTCTTCATTCTTTTTGTCATGCTAATAAAACCCTTTTATTCCCAAGTAATGGACATAATTTTGTTTGAGTTGAAAGAAACACAACATGGAATTTGAAATAAATTCACTTCAACAAAAACAAAAAGAAGGTTTCCAGATATTAAGGAGTCACTAGAACTATTTCTGAACTGCCTGAACAGGTTGTGTTTAGTTCTCTTTGCAGAAGTGTTATTGCCATTCAAAACATCTATCTCTATCTTTTCAATACAGCAGTGGCAATATAATGACAAACTTGCAAATCATTCAGAGATATTCATGTTATGGGGATTGGAAGAGTCAGACCACTGCCATATTTCTTAATAAATTCATATCTGCAGCCTCAGCCAACTTGCAGACACCACATTTTGGATAGAACGGAATTATGGCTGCTAAAACCTTTGGCCTTGTGTATCAGTGTACAGCAATTAAATTCACTTCCTAATATCTAGAAACCTCCGTAACAATTAATACAGTAAATCAGCATTGACAACTGCTCAGAAATAAGCATGTGTGCTGAATTCAAAACACAAATTAAGGATAATTTTAGAAGGACGTAATTTTGTGGCCACATATACCATTATCTTCCCATTCTTTTGAGTTAGGGCTGGAGTTCTTTCCATTGAGCTGAGTATTTTTCCTGTCAGCAAAAGCCAAGTCCGACCCCTTTTGGTCGCCGTAAAGCTCTAATGGGTTCAGCAAGCCCTTTGCCGTCTGGTCCGAGACCGGTGCCAGGAATCCAGCCCATGCTTTGCAGCATCTGGTTGCCAATGTTGGTTTCTGGGATAGGCTGGGCATTTTCACCTACAATCCCTAGGATTAAAACACAGAAGGATTTAATCAGCATAGTCATGTGGAAAAGAACAGGATAATCTGAATTATAGTCTAAAACCTTTAATTATTTTCATTTATTTGATGAATTGCTAAAACATTCAATCTTATCACATAATGACCTGATGATATCACACCTAGGTTCACAAAATGACGTTGTGGTTTCTCAATGTTTAAAAATTGATTTGGAAGTGGTAAGAGATTGCACTGCATGTGAATGAAAAATAATACAGTATTAGTCCTCACACTGTTAACTTCCTAGTCTCAAGTGTACTCTCCTCTGAAAACAGAAGGAAAAAGCTTGAAGGATTGCTGATCTACCTGAACATAAAGGATCAAAATTGCAGCATTGAAACAAAGAAAGAAGACAAAGACTTGCATTTATATATCATCTTTCACTCTCATGATGATCCAAAGCAACCTATAGCCAATGAAATGCTTTTAAATTATAGCCACTGTTGCTACATAGGGAACAGAAACCAAAGGATTTGAAGCTAATGCTTCATTTCCCTTATAGAACAATAGATGAGAGGAACACTGCTGCCAAAAACCCCACAGGTTTGTAGATAATAAAGTGAATATGGAGTAAGTATAATTATTATTTGTCACCTTGGGTCATTTCTCTTTTTCAAAATTAGATAGGTAAAATACCAAACAAATGACTATGTATTCCAATAAAATGGTAATTAATGGGAGACATAATAGAAATTATTAAGCAGGAATAAATTCTTTCTGAACTTAGAATGGCTACATCACAGAAAGGGGCCATTTGGTTGGTTGCATCCACACCAGCTCCCTGCAAAAGCAACCCATCCAGGCTCATTCCTGTCCCCTTCCTTGCAGCACTGCAAATTCCTCTTCTCCCATCCTCCTGCCCCCACCCAGATTTCCCCTTGCAATCCACAATCAAAACTGCCTCCACACCATTCCCAGGCAGTGTTCTTCGGATCCCAAATGTTGTGAAAAGTCTCTTCACATGTTGTTGTTGCTTCTTTTACCAAGCACCATAAATCAAACTCCTCTGGTCTCAATACACTCTGCTCAGACCCCTCACGATTCTAAACACTCTAAGCTCATATTCAGTAAAACAAGCCAGGGATTATTCAAGGTTACATGGTTTAATGCCATCAAAGGAACCTCTTATGTAGTTACATATTCCAAAGAACCTTTTGCAGACAATTTTGATTCTGGTCATTCAAGAAGTTTATTTTATGTATCAAGAAGTACTGTAGGGTTTCTATGGGAGAAGTGCAAGTTAAAAATTCAAAAGACCAAATTTTAAACGATATCTGCAAGTACAAATAATTTCTATAATAAAACAAAGAACTGCAGATGCTGACAATCTGACACAAAAATAGAAATTGCTGGAGAAACTCAGCAGGTCTGGCAGTACCTGTGGGGAGGAAGCAGAATTAACATTTCAAGTCCAGAGAGTCTTCATCAGAACAAATAAGTTTGAAAACCTTCATTCCCCTCTCTCCTACCAAATTGTGTTTACTCACATCCAGCCTCAGTTATGTTCAACAGGAATGCAAAATTCCTACACAAAACTGGTTGCCAACATTTCTTTTGCTGAGTCTGGTTGACCAGAGCACAGTCTGACCAGTTGAAGAAACTTCTCATCAAAGTAACTTATAACTGAGAGTGTGTTGCAGATTATGAATTTTGAATCTATGACTTTGAGGTTTTGAAGCAGGTAACCAGCATGTACTTTTCTAGGTACTGTATATTAATATCCAAGCATTCCTAAAATTAATTTCTAAGCAGCACTGGTAGTAAACCTTCAAGTAACAAATAGCCTTACAGTGTAGTATCGTTGCACTAAATATTGCAACTGCCAGAATATTGTGACATTTAAGAGAAATATTAACAGCAAAAAATTCATTTGAAAAAAATATAGTTATGCAATATTTCAGTTATATTTAATAAATTTATTTGAAATGCTGAATATTTGCTCAAAATGAAATCAGACCTGTATATATGCATAAAGCAGGCTGGTTAAAGATACACCTAAACACAACCATTTAGCTATGTCTTCTAGACTACCACAGTTCACGTTTTTCTCCAACAGACTATAAACTGAATGCCAGATCATTGGTCTACAGCTTCCAGAAGCTAGACATCTGCTTAATCACCCTCTGATGTTATAACAGCTTAATGGACGGATGAAACACAGTTATTAAACAATATCCTATCAGACGGAAAATTATTCTAATGGTTTTGTTTTTATCTCTGTCACAGTTACTGCTATGAAAACCTGTTTCAGGTAAGTCCAGATACCTGCTGCTCTAACATCAAATAGGCCATAAGATTTCTGGCAATGTTTTATAAAGATCTGTGACTGTATGATGAAATGAATTCTGTCAAGGTTTTACATTGAATAAATACAAACTAGCCTTTAACCAAACTATACCTTTAGGACAACTCGATATTAAAATGCAGGTAAGGGCTTAGATATCAAATATAAATGACAGACTGCATTGATTTTCACTGAGCATTTCATCATGGATTTCCTTACAAGGCAGAAGAGTAAATTCCCAGAAAATCCATTTGAAAGTATAATACTGGTCATTCAACAAGCACTCTAGTTTCTAGGCAATAGGGGAAAATAAATGTTCATACAAGCAGCACACTAGATCCCTTATCCCCTGTGGTTGCAAAACAAATGAAGTTCGCTTCAGCTCTGAAGGCACAGCTGTATAAAGTAGATAGATATTGAAACAATAACATCAATGATCTTCACACATATGCATATTGTACATTCTACTTAATATAAAATTGGTTGAATTGTTTTCCGTATGTTGGTCTAAAAGTCAACACTAATCAATGCAAAAGCCCAATTTGAATAATCTCAGATGCCTTTATAGAAGGAATCAATAAAGTATTTTTCTGTCTTCCATATCAATCCTTGTTTGTTGGTTTGTTCTGCTTCCAGACTTAACTAAATGCTCTTAAAGTGAAGTAACATTCACTACTGCATATTAATGGAATTTCTTATTATTACAGGTTTATGAAATGTAGATAACTGAATTTAAATTAAAATGGATATCTCATAGTAAAATTATGATGCAATTCACATATTAGCAGGAAATGAAAGCTAAACGTTCCAATTTGAAATTACCTACTTGCAGCTTTCAAATAAACAATGTGTCAGGAGATAGCAGTTGTCCAGACCAGCACCTGATGACTTAAACAAACAAAACAGAAATTGCTCAAGAAACTCAGCATGCCTGGCTGCAGCCCAGTGACTCTTCTTCATTTCTGAAACAAGGATTCAAAACGTTCCCCACCCCCGACCTCATCCAAAGACCAGTCCATCTCGTCCCCGCCTCCTTGACCTGTCCATCTTTTCTCCCACCTATCCACTCCTCCCACCTCACTGATGAACCTCCACCCCCACTTCCTACCTACTAGCCTCATCCCTGCCTCCTTGACCTGTCAGTCTTCCCTCCCACCTAACCCACCTCTCCCTCCTCACTGACTAACCCTCATCCCAACTTCATACCTACACTCACCTTTACTGGCCTCATCCCCACCTCCTTGACCTGTCCATCTTCTCTCCACCTATTTGCTCCTCTATCCCCTTCTATCATCGCCTCCCCCCTCCCTATTTATTTCAGAGCCCCCTTCCCCTCCCCCATTTCTGAAGAAGGGTCCAGACCCGAAACATCAGCTTTCCTGCTCCTCTGATGCTGCCTGGCTTGCTATGTTCATCCAGCTCTACACCTTGTTTCTCAGACTCCAGCATCGGCAGTTCCTACTGTCTCCTTCAAAACATTTCTCTCCACAGATGCTCCCACACCTGCTAAGCTTCTCCAGCAATCTCAGAGATAGTAAGAACTGCTGATGCTGGAGTCTGAGATAACACAGTGTGGAGCTGGAGGAACACAGCAGGCCAGGCAGCATCAGAGGAGCAGGAAAGGTGGCGTTTCGGATCGGGACCCTTCTGAAGGATCCCGACCCAAAACGTCAGCTTTCCGACTCCTCTGATGCTGCCTGTCCTGCTGTTTTCCTCTAGCTCCAGCAATCTGTTTTTGCTTCTGAGATCTTTGTTTAATATCACCCAAAGACCTATTACAACATTATCTACAGCCATTTCTTCCAAAGGGCCATTCTTGGCCTGTGTCTGTGAAAGCAATTGTTTATACCATCTGTTTATTTCAAGCTTCATTTGGGAACATCTAACTGTGCATGCGTCATCACAATGAACTTGCACTCAATGGTAGCTCTGAATACGTCATGGATACCCTTTCCACCAAGGCACACAATTATGGATGGCTCTGGCCAATGAAAAATGGGATTTTGTTGCAATAGCACTAGGTACAGGCAGACACTGACAGAGAAAGTCGCAAAGGACTTCTGGTATTTTAGATATTAGTTAACATAAGAAAAAGTAGCAAAGCAGATCATTTGGCTCCTCAAACCTGCACAGCAGTTCAATTAATGCTGATCTGTCTGTGATCTAACTCCACTTTCTCATGGATGGAAAAAATTAGGAAGGGGTGATAACTAACATCATAAACAGTGATTTAACATTGCTACTGATTTTAGATCAGCTGTGGAAAACAGTTTAATTAACTCTGCGTTAAGGTATATGGATTATATACATATGTGTGAAGCAATACACACTTTTCATTATCTCTTTATTTGAGATAAAGATTTTTTTGCCCTACAGTACTCCAATAGTAAGCACAGTCTTAAAGAAAAAAGGGGATAATTTGAGTACAATTAAGAGAAAAAAAATTATAATACATTTGTATATAAACACAAAGAAATTAAATACATACATGCATTCAAAAGCACCTTTCATTCTTTCATGATCTTGGAAGTACCAAAGCATGTTGCAGATAGGGAAATACCTTTGAAGTGTAGTCACTGTTGCAATTCAGAGAAAAGGTTATCTGTGCACAGCATGGTTACACAAATAGCAATGTGATAAATGACCAGATAATCTATTCCGCACTGTACCACATGAGGAATAA